ACTTGGTAGCCCAGGCTGGCCTCGAACTCACAGAGATCCGCCTGGCTCTGCCTCCCGAGTGCTGGGATTAAAGGCGTGCGCCACCACCGCCCGGCTTGGCCTCAAACTCTTAAGCCTCCCAAACACTGGGATAACAGTCCTGAAATACCATGCTTAATTCTGCTTCCTCCTTCTCCTTCTCTTCTTTTAAATTTATTTTTTAGATTTTTTTTTAAATACACGTAGGTGTTTTGCCTGCATGTATGTCTGTGCACCATGTCCATGCCCGCTTTCCACGGAGGCCAGAACACAACATCAGATCTCCTTAAAACTGGAGTTGCAGAGGTTATGAGCCATCAAGTGGGCACTGGGAATCAAACCCAGGTCCTCTGGACGAGCAGCCATTGCTCTTAACTGCTAAGCCATCGCCCCAGCACCTTCTTTTTTATGGCAGAGTTTCATTCTGTAGCTCAGGTTGGCCTTAAACTTGTGGCAATCCTCCTGCCTCAGCCTCCTGAATACTGGGATCAGAATTGTGCTACCACACCCTTGTGGAATATCAAATGTTTAAGAAACCTAGGTAGCCTGAGGTTGTTGTTATAGTAACAGGAGGTGAAAACAGAATTGAGGGGTAAGGAGTCCATGTTACCTTCATTCCTAGAACTGAAATACGGTAAGGAATAATGTCACAACTGAAGAGCAGAAACACAGGGCGTGTTCAGTGGGCTATGCTTTTTAATGTTTCCCTCTCTCTTCTCTTCCTCTGGCCTCTTCTCTATTCATCCTCCTTAGGTGCTTCCCATCTCTTCCCAACGTACCTGGCCAGATGCCGACAGTATTTACGCAGTATCCCCGACTCTCTGTGCCTGGAAATTCTCGAAAACATCTTCTCTTTGCTCCTCGTTACCTCTGCCGACCTTCACCCAGAGCCTCACCTGCCGGAGGACTATGCCGAGGAGGAGGACACTGAGGGGAAAGGCTCCTTGGGTTTGAGGTCTCCGTCAGAGAGTCCTCAGCACATAGCCCCTCCTGAGAGGAGGTCAGAGCGGGGTTCCCTGGGGGGGCCCAGGAGCCTTGTTCACACAATGCCAAGTTGTCCAAAGGCAGAGCCAAAAGACAGTTCGCCAGGGCCTCCTAAGCACAGCTTCTTGGACCTAAAGCACTTTACTAGTGGCCTGAGTGGATTCCTGGCTGACGAGTTTGCAATGGGAGCGTTCCTCGGCCTTATTCAGGAGCAGCTCGATGAGATCAGCAGCCGTAGCACGCCCGAGGAGACGAAGCTGCTAGAAGGCCAGAGCTGTTCCGCCGCAGGCAGGGATGGACTGCAGGGCCGCCTGCACCGGTTCTCGAAGGTTCTCTCTGAGGCCCAGTGGCGGTACAAGGTGGTAACAAGCAACCAGGGCTCAGGTGAGAGGAGGAAGACAGAACTAGAAGGTCTAGAAAGTAGGAAAGGAGAAAAGTCCTGGCAACCTGGGCAAGGGGCAGGCACGTGGGAGCCACACCCTAATCCAGGGACTATGACCTCTCAGAGCTTAGTGAAGACTGCCCCTGCCCGTTTCCACAAGGTGCCACATCACAGCTGGTCACCGTGCCTGTGTTTGCTATTCCAGAAGAGCAGCCCTCCCGAAGATACCGGCCCATTGCCACAAGGTACTCTAGTCTCCGCCGAGGTCGTCGGACTAGAAGGACCCGGACAGGTGATCCACAAAACTCTCTCTCCTCAAATCTTGTCCTCATACACCTGGCAAAGAGGCATACTGGCGCTTGTCTAATGTCCCTCTAGGCAGAGCACACAGTCAACGTAACAAAAGTGGAAGGTCCTCCTAGTCCCACCCCTTCCCAAGTCAGGACGTAACAGTTTCTTACCTAGCCATCCAGAAGTTTCCCACACAACACAACATGCATATCCCTTCACATATGCGTAATAACACCACACGCACACACACACACACACACACACACGCACGCACGCACGCACGCACGCACGCACGCACGCTATAAACACTCTGGGTGAGGTGAGGGACACCATGAGAGAAACCTGGGAAAACTACGTGAAGCCGCCCAGTTGATTGGTTTGGGACACGGGCCGAGTTTGCATCCACCTGAGTCATCCAGCCCCAGAACATGCATTCCATTTCCTTTTCCTCAGAGCAGCCTCAGCAGCAGGCCAAGGGGACTACTCCCTTGACTGGTGATACAGCCTCCACAAGGCCACGCTAAGGGACCCCCAGCCTCCATTGGCAAGTCTCAGCATTAGGAAAGCTGATGCTGAACCGCTTCTCCTGGGTTTAACCAGGGTGGCCTTTGTCACCCACCTATGTCAGAAAACGTCATGACTCCTCTTTGCGCCCTACTGTTTTCTAGTCATGATTAGTTGTGCTTTTATTTTACGAAGCCATTGCTAATACTTAGCAGATGGTGATCACTAGCTCTGAGGACTCTGAGACCCCCACATGGTAAAAACCGCTGGTATAGACTGCTACCCAGAGAGCTCCGGGACCACATCGTACCTGCCGTCCATCCTTGCCGTGGTCACCCTTTATCCTCAGTCTACCCAGATCTCGGCGCGTAGGCCGGCTTTGCAGTTTACACACTATAAGGAGTTGGTGACCGAATTTCACTCTTGTACCTCTAGATGGCCGGGAAAGAGGCTCCAACCCACCGTCCCTGGAGAACACAAGCAGCGAGCTGAGCACCAGCACTTCAGGTATGTGGGTCCCACCCTGCCACTGACTGTAGGCAGCTCTGCCCCGTCCAGACTCGCCGTCCCCTGCGGTGTGAACACCAGAACAGAACCTCTGTTCCAGGTTCATTCTGTAGACAACGGAGCGGATGCCAGCCGGGAAAAGAGTAAAGGCTTTTTCTCTCTCAGTTAACTTACCCAGCAGCAGCAGAGAGAAGCAGGTGGCTAGTCAAGGGAGGTAGTTGGTCCCTGTAATGGTAATAAATCTCTACCCTTCGTTTAAACAAAAACCAAGACCCATTTACAGATCTTTCAGAGGAAACGTAGGCGTGAGGAGGGAGGTGACAGCTCCCTGTTTTCTCCTGACTGTCCAATGTTCTTACACCCCACAGAAGGCAGTCTGAGTGCTGTGTCCGGGCAGGTGGAGCTGGACAGCCGGTCACAGCCCCAGCCTCAGAGTTCAATCATCCCCATGATGTTCTCCCCACCGGAGTCCCTGCTGGCGTCCTGTATCCTCAGGGGGAACCTGGCAGAAGCCCGTCAGGTAAAGGGAGACTTGTCGTGGTAAAGTGTGCCAAGTCAGCCCCTGATGGGCTGGCATATTGGGCCTCCGGGAAAGCTAAACATGCATGGGACCCCAAAGGTACTTGAGAGGGCTTGCTGGGGGTCACACTGAGCAGAAAAAAATGTGCAGGCTCAGTGCTTGGTACTTCGGGTTGAGAGACATTGAGTTATTTGTGGGGTTTTTGGTTTTTTGGTTTTTTGGTTTGTTTTGTTTGGTTTTTTGGTTTTTTTTTTTTTTTTTTTTTTTTGAGACAGGGTTTCTCTGTGTAGTTTTGGTGCCTGTCCTGGATCGCACTCTGTAGACCCGGCTGGCCTCGAACTCACAGAGGCCTGGCTCTGCCTCCTGAGTGTTAGGATTAAAGGCGTGCGCCACCACCGCCCAGCGTTATTTGTGTTCTTAATACAAGCAGCATTTTAACAAAATAAAATAACCACAATGTCACCACCTCCAAACAGGGAAACTTCTGTTTCTTTCTTCATACTCCTGTGATCATATCTGTGTTTCTATATAGTTAAAAAATCCTAATGTGGGGCTGGAGAGATGGCTCAGAGGTTAAGGGTACTTGCTGCTCCTCCAGAGGTCCTGAGTTCAATTCCCAGAAACCACATGGTGGCTCACAACCATCTGTAATGAGATCTGGTGCCCTCTTCTGGCCTGCAGTCATACATGCTGTAGACATAATAAATAAATCTTTTTTAAAAAAAAAATCATAATGTGATAGCTCTTGGTAGTACACAGAACGGCAGTTCAGTTCAGCATACAGCATCAGGGCTAGCAAACTGGAGTGCCGTAGGATGCAGGGAAAACAACCCTGGAATAGCGGTCAGAACGTCTCAAGCTCTCTGAGCCTTGATCCTCTGTGGACAGTTGTAGCTCAGTATAATTCTTGCATCCCCCACTCATAGTAAGGTTAAGAAGATTATACAGGAGCCATGAGAAATGCAGGAATCCTGTGTTGTTGAATCTCAATAGCATTAAGTACCACTCTTCTGTGCTTCAAACGCTCCAAGAGTTTTTTGAAACTTAATGCCGGTCCCTGAACATCTAGGTTAGAATTTTCTATGGCGCGACTCCAGGTATTAAGTAGACCTGGGGGAAATCTCCATGCTAAGATGGTCTTTCCTTAACTCCCCCTGTTCCCTTTAGAGTTCCTGCTTGCATGATGAGGATTCTCTGGACAAGGCAGGGGATCCCCCCACCACACGCTTTCCTTTGATGTTGTTTCTGCCGTGCTGAGACCTGAACCAAGGCTCTCACATGTGCTGGGCTTTACAGTGAGTTAACTCCTGGGTCCAAAACGGATCCCGGTCCCATTGTTCTATTGCTGCTGCTGCTGCTTCCCAGCCTTTCTTCAAGCTGAACAACTAGCAGTTTGCATGGTCCTTTCTCCCCTAAACACCACGCATTTGTCTTCCTTTCCTTAAACCTTGGTGTGGGTGTGGTGTGCGCGCTTTATTTTTTTAACCTAGTTACGAAACAAGTTCTACGTATTACAAACAGTATTAACAAGAAAATAAAATTAGTTTTAACGCTATCATATAGAAATAACCTACGTAAGCCAGGTGGTGGTGACACATGCTTTTAATCCCAGCACTTAGGAGAGAGAGGCAGGCGGATCTCTGAGTTCAAGGCCAGCCTGGTCTACAGAGTGAGTTCCATCCAGGACAGCTAGAGCTGCACAGAGAAACCCTGTCCTGAAAAACCAAAATGGAAAAAAAAAAGAAGCAACCAATGTTAGAGATGTGTATTTTTGGCCAATATCTTTCCAATGATCATCATCACATTTAAGTCATTTTCTTTCTGTCCAACACACAGATTATTTTCAGCATTATAATAATGCTCTGGAAACATGATCACCCTTATGGGTAAAGCCTTTGAAATTATTTCTGTACGGAAAGTTCTCATAGGCTGGGTATGGTGGCTCACACTGGTAAGCCCAGTACTGAAGCAGGAGGATTGCTGTGAATTTGAGGCCAACCTGGGCTATAGAATAAGAGCCCGCCTCAACAAAGGGGTGGAGTGGGAGGATGGGAGGGGAAGAAAAGGGGTCTCACCTAAATTACTAAATCAAAACACATTTTAGGGCAAGTAAAATGTCTCGGTGGGAACAGGCACTTGCCACCCAGCCTGAAAACCTGAATTTGACCCCTGGCACCCACATGGTTGGAGGAGAGAATTAACTCCTGCAGGTTCCTCTCTGACTTCCACATGCGTACTGTGGTACTCATGTACCCACACACATTCCATCCAAATAAATAAATAAATAAACGTAATTATTTTAAAAATGTTTTTAAAAATACATTTTTAACATTTAAAAGATTCCCAAACTATCCCCGGCGGTTGTGGCACACCCCTGGAGGGTTTATTCTTACACTTTGTTAGTGTGTTAGGTATTAAATAGCATCTGTGCTGGTTTGTGTCAACTGGACACAAGTTAGAATCGTCAGAGACGAGGGAGCCTCAACTGAGAAAATGCCTCCATAGGATCGAGCTGTAGGCAAGCCTGTAGGGCTTTTAAATTAGTGATTGATGGGGGAGGGCCCAGCCCATTGTGGGTGGTACCACCCCTGGACTAGTGGTCCTGGATTCTATAAGAGAGCAGGCTGAGCAAGCCAGTAGGCAGAACCCCTCCATGGCCTCTGTCTGCATCAGCTCCTGCCTCCAGGTTCCTGCCCTGTGTGAGTTCCTGCCCTGACTTCCTTCAGTGATGGAATACGATGTGGAAGTGAAGCCAAATAAACCCTTTCCTGCCCAAGCTGCTTTGGTCATGGTGTTTCATCACAACAACTAAAACAGTATCAGTTGCTTAAATTCCTGGTCAGGAAGAAAATGTTCTTGTTTGTGTATTTCCTATAGGTTTCTCCTCTGAAGTCACCGGCAACATTTGCTATTTCCTTCTGACCTTTGGTGATTTATTTATGGACTTTTATGAGCTGTTTTGTAGTTGGTCTCTTCTTAACATTCAGTGCTAGCTGGGTGTAGTGAGTGGCGCATTCCTTTAATCCCAGCGCTTGGGAAGCAGAGGCAGGTGGATCCAGGCTGCCCTGGTTTACATAGTGTGTTCTAGGACAGCCAGTGCTACACCGAAAAAACTGTGTCTCTAAAGGAAAAACTCCCTGATGCTCTAAAATGGCCATCTTGGGACCATGGTCTCCTGAATCGGCCCGGCATCCTATCACGAGATGTTCCCAGACTATGTGGACCCACCACCGCCACCACACCCCTCCCTTTCTCGTGACAGGTGGTGTTCATGTTCAACCTCAAGTCCTCCCCGAGTGCCGGGGAGCTGATGTTTGTAGAGCGTTACCAAGAGGTGATCCAGGAACTGGCCCGGGTCGAGCACAAGATTGAAAACCAGAATTCGGATGCGGGTAACAACGCCGTTCGGCGCACTGGCAGTGGGCGCTCCACTCTGCAAGCCATTGGCAGCGCCGCAGCGGCAGGTCGGTCTTCCACGCTGACGTCAGAGATGGAGAGGTGGCTGGGGTGGTGGCGGAAGGGAAGAAACCACCCAAATCGTCATGGGAAGTCGCCAGAGACGGAAAGCAGGACACCTGTCCCCAAAGCCAGCGATCCCGACACATTCCAAGCAGTCTCCTAGCTGTCCCCAGCCTCCCTGACTAGGTGGCCACAGGCCTGTCACTCAAGCCAATCCTGCTTATCCTACCCAACTTAAGTTAAAGAGCAAGAGTGTTGGCCCAGTGCATTTTGGGATCCCTCACTGGGGCATTAGAGGACTGTTATGAGTTGTTCCTTTCTCTTGCAGTTATTCAGTGGTAAAGTGTATTTATTACTTGGCCGTTCCTGAAGTGAAAAGCCGCTGGTTAATGTTTGTGGCCTGGGGACCACCTGTCAGTTCCCAGCTGCGGCAGCCCACTCCAACAGCTGCCTCCTCTTCTTTCTCTGTGCCACGTTCTCACCCCTCCCGTTGCCCCCCAGGCCCCATGTATCAGGTTACCATCATGTGTCCCCCCTTACAAATGCTTCCAGAAACTTTCCAGGCCTACTTAAAATACATAGCCAGGTCCTCATGCTTGCTCAGCAGGGGCCATTACCCACTGAGCTGACACTGGCCTCTCCCCAGCCCCTCTTTACAACATACTCCTGCACATCTTTTCAATGGCTTTGCTAGAAAGGGGCTCTTACAGCAGTAATGCTGTCTACTCTGCTTTCTTAGCGATGTGTTTGTTTATAGAGTGTTTCCACTTGCTCTACCCTCTCCGCGTCTTTCTCGCCTGCATCAGATCCTGTTGGGAAGAAGCGCTCCTTCACTGCTACCTCCCGGGTTTATTGTGGCCTTTTTTTCTTACCTTTGTTTTGATTCTGTCAGAGCAGGCCCTAGTGAAAGTGTTAGTGTGTGCAGAGATCCTGTGCACAAGAACCCCAGACAAACTACTCCTCACACTACGGTGGTAGCTAGACTCACCGTAACCCTTGCTTTTTGCTCTTCCCCGCTGCCATGTCCAGGAATGGTGTTTTACTCCATCTCCGACGTGACTGACAAGCTCCTCAGCCCCTCCGAAGACCTCATCCCCACACTCCAGGAAGATTTTTGGATAAATGCTGCTCTGACGGAGCCCACCACTCCTCTTAGAGAAGTTCTGGAAGACCTCAGTCCCCCTGCCATGGCTGCCTTTGACCTGGCTTGCTGCCAGTGCCAGCTCTGGAAGACCTGCAAACAGCTCCTAGAGACAGCCGAGCGGCGACTGAGCAGCAGCCTGGAGAGCCGGGGTAAGTGGGTGTCGTTCACCTCTCTCCATTCCTATCCATCCATCCATCTACCCATCCATCCATCCATCCATCCATTCACTCATTCATATCAGCTGTAGCGATGAGCTCAGCAAACCTGAAGAAGTTGTGGAGAGAGTAAAAGAAAGAATTAAACATTATTGATGCCCTCATCCTAATGGCATAAATACAAATGTTGGGCGGCTCATATTCATAGACAGCAGTCTGCAGTCACTCGAGGAAATGCTTTTCTAATTTATCATAAAATTGAAGGAAGAGACACACACTCAGCAGGGAGGTCCCAGGACAGCTAGGCTGGCAGGGAGGAAGAAGGCTCCACAACAGGAGTCGAGAGAGGAGGAGCACTAGGAGAGAAGTGCAGTGGCACGTGGTAGGAAGACGCTACAAAGAAACCCACCAACCAAGAGGGCAGGGTGGCGGTGGCGCACGCCTTTAATCCCAGCCCTTGGGAGGCAGAGCCAGGCTTCTCTGTGAGTTCGAGGCCAGCCTGGTCTACAGAGCAAGATCCAGGACAGGCACCAAAACTACACAGAGAAATCCTGTCTCTGAAAAAAAAAAAGAAGAAGAAGAAGAAGGAAAGAAACATGCTTTCAAGGATGCTACAAATGGGTGGGTGGGGGTGTAGCATGCTTGAGCCCTGGGTTCGATCTGTTAGCGTACAAAAACCAAGGGACAAGTGAATGAGTGCCATTATACTGCAGTCCCCTCCTGGGTGAAGGCCTTGACCCTCGCCTGGCCTTGACCCTCGCCTGGGACTGCCATGACTCTGCAAACCAGGGTAAAGGGAAATGTCCTAGGAGCTGAGGTTCTCAACCTGTGGGTCGCAACCCCTTTGAGATCGTACAACCTTTTCACAGGGGTCACCTAAGACCATCAGAAAACACAGACATTCACATTATAATTCATAACAGTAGCAAAATTACAGTTATGACGTAGCAATGAATTAGTTTTATGGTTAGAGGTCACCACAACATGAGGAGCTATGTTAAAGGGTCGCAGCGTGAGGAAGGTTGGGAACCACTGGCCTAGAGGAATCGGGTATGATGATCTACCTGGGCGATTAGAAAATAGAAATCTGATTCCAGCTCAGGTCCATGGCTGAAGACAGTCGGAAGGCAAATCCACAGCAAGTGTCCCTTGGCTTTGGTCAACAAGTGCCACAGAAATGCCAGAGATTCTGAATCTGCCGTTGATGGCCGAGGCAGTCCTGGAAGCTCAGGCATGGCGTACACCAGCTCTGCCCGTTGTCACCCAAAGTGACACAGTGTGTACCTCACACTTACTCTTAGAAAAGATCAAGTTACACGAGGAGCTGGGCATCCACCTCTGGAAATCCATTTCTTCCAGCATCCCTCTGCCTTCTTCAATTTCAGGTCGACGCCTAGACCAGGTTGTCCTCCATCCCGATGGTATTCGAGGTTTTCCTGTGGTCCTTCAGCAAATTAATAAGATTCTCAATTATCCACTTACCTTAACGGGACAAGCGAAACCTGGTGAGATGCTTTACTACACCACCTCGTCTTCCAATTTTGTTTTTCCTGGACTTGGAATAGTGCATCAACAGACCTTTTTTTCCTCTTCCTTTCTCACATGTTTTCCATAGAGACCCTAGAAGAAAGGGGAGGAGGCGCCCCACGATGCAGCATCTCCGAGCTGCTTCAGACATGCTGGCCCAGCCTCACCGAGGACTGTGTGGCCAGCCAGACCAGCCTTTCCCAGCAACTGGATCAGGCTCTCCAGTCACTGCGAGAGGCACTAGAGCTACCAGGTACAGGTCTGCCTGCACGGGGACAGATAAACCGAAGAACTGAGCGAGGGAGGTGAGACAGCTGAGGATGTATGAGCATTTTGGAGCAGAGACTCTGCACTCTGGCGCTGGGCTTGGTCGGCCCTTTCTAGCTAAACAAGACACATTCAGAAGCGCACTTCCCTCTTCCCCAACTCTCACTTGAAAGGATACTTAACACTCTCGCTAGCAGGTACATTTTTTTCACTGCTGGTGAAAAACATACCCAGCTGGTAGTTAGTTGGTATTGGTCAACCCTCCCCGAAAGTGTTCTTCATAAAGCTGCTTCACCCCGAACAGGGTAAAACAACTGTATAGTCTGATGGCTTTAGACTCCAGGCTATTCCTGGCTGAGATCGCTTGCCCACGTGGCTGAATTGTCTGTTTTGTTTTGTCTATCCACCTTCTAAGTGGGGGGCTCACATAGTCACCTATGTCCCATAGAAACCCAGTGCACTCTGTAGGAAGCTCAGTTCCTACATTGGATCAAAAGCTGACCCAAAGCTGAGGGGCCGGAGAGATGGCTCAGTGGTTAAGACTACTTGCTGCTCTTCCAGAGACCCAAATTTAGTTCCCGGCACCCACATTGTGTGGCTCACATACAACTATAATTCTAGCTCCACTGGGTCCTGCATCCTCTGGCCTCTGCAGGAACCCCAAATCCACATACACATGCACCTATATAAGAATAAAAAATAAAATAAATATTTAATTTTAGAAATGAACCCAAAGCTAGAAGCAGAGTCTAAAGCCCTGTCTCTTCCCCCACCCTCCCCCATTCCTCTCAGAGCCCAAGAGTACCCCACTCACTTCCCTAGTGGAGCAGGCGGCCCAGAAGGCCCCCGAGGCAGAGGCCCACCCTGTGCACGTCCAAAGTCAGCTCCTCCAGAAGACCCTGGGGAAGCAGGTGCTGGCAGGCAGCGGGCAGGCTGACTATGTGGGAGCCTTCTTCAGCTACTGCAGCACCCTGGCTGCAGTCCTTCTTCGGAGTTTGAGCTCTGACCCTGGTAAGTAGTGAGAACACATACGGACTCATCGGGCAGTTATTTAGGGAAAGGAAGAGGGGGCATGCTTCCTTAAGAAGCTCACTCTAGGCACACAATAACTAAGGGTACCAGACTTGTAGCATTCTCTTACTCATCTGTCTGTATTTTGCATCTTTGTGTTAAGTAAAATTATACAGCACATGGAAGTCCTCAATAACGTTTCACGGAATCGGTGCCTCAAAAAATGTCCTTGAAGCCAGGTGCGGTGGTACACACGTATAATCCCCACACTCGGGGCAGAGGCAGAAGGATCAGGAGCCCCAGGCCAGCCTGGGCTGTGCAATACCCTGTAACAAAACAGAACAAAAAATCTGTCAGACCTGGGCTCCATCATAGATCTGAGAGTCCAGCAGAAAAATCAAACCTTTGACTTGAGTCTCAGATTCTTTGAGTTCTTAGCAAGTTCCAAGTAGATGGATAAAAAATCTGAAATCTTAAATTTTTCCAGATCCCAAACCTTTTTAACCACCAACCTGATGCCATAAATGATTTGACAATTCATAGTTAAAATACAGATGTATGAAAATACTGTCTAATCTTACCTTTGGGTTCTGTATATAAGATGTAAATGAAACATCAGTGTTTAGACTTAGATCCTATCCCTCGATACCCTAATCTGTGCATGCAAACAGTCCAGGAGCCGAAACACGTCTAGTCCCAAGTGTTGCGGAGACAGGATGCTCAAGCTGTCAACTTCAATTTCAGTCAGGTTGGAGTGAGCGCTGCATGCTGTCTGTAGTTAGACTGGCCACTGAAGTTTGCTGGATTGGAAGTCTTTAGCACTGTAAGATGTAAATAAACTTGTATCCAGGTACCTTTAACCTACTGTGAATCCACAGAAGGGATCTTCACGTTGTCATCGTTGCCATTCACAATGTGACTAATCTGTTCTCTGAGACGGATCCCTGAGCGGTTGCAACCCAGCAGGACAAAAAAGACCCTTTCTTTACTTTCTCAGATAACGTGGAGGCCAAGGTTGGAAATCCCTTTGTTCTCCTGCAGCAGAGCTCTTCCCAACTGGTGTCCCATCTCCTGCTTGAGAGACAAGTTCCTCCAGACAGGTAGGTGTCACCTGTGGTGCTTTTACTCTTTTATAGTATATTAAAATTCAACATGCTCCGGGGCTGGAGAGATGGCTCAGAGGTTAAGAGCACTGGCTGCTCTTCCAGAGGTCCTGAGTTCAATTCCCAGCAACCACATGGTGGCTCACAACCACCTGTAGTGAGATCTGATGCCCTCTTCTGGCCTGCAGGAATACATGCAGGCAGAATATTGTATATGTAATAAATCTTAAAAAAAAAAAAAAAAAAAAAATTCAACATGCTCCAAAGTTACACAGCAAAACCCTGTCTCGAAAAACCAAAAGAAAAAAAATTTCAACATGCTTCTATCTTTTGACTCTCTTGCCACTGTTAGTGTGTGTTATAGGTAGGAGGCTAATGGTGAATCTTCACTCACAGATGAGCAAAAGCCAGAGGTTCAGCAACAATGGCCATGTAGGCTATAGAAAAATAACCATCCTCAGGCATTGCTGGTAAAGTATAAAAGTTGCTATAACTACCATGGCAGATCATCTTCTCAGTATCTATTAAGATTACAAATTGATCACAAATGACCAATAAATATTTGTAAAAGTAGTCAACATCCTTCACCATCAGGCAATTGCAAATTAGAACTCCTTTGAGGGTCCATCTCACCCTAGTCTACTATCATAGATCTGCTATATGACAGCAAATTCTGGTGAGCATGTGGGAAGACAGGAGCCTGTTCAGTCCTGGTGGGAGGATAAACCGGAACAGCCACTGTGGGAATCAGTTGTGGAGGTTTCTCCAAGAGCTAAAAATGGGACTGCCATATGACCTCACTACACCACTCCCGTGCATAGAGCGTTCTCTATCCCACCACAGAGAGACTTAACACTGTGGTGTTTGTTGCTGACCTATTCACAGTTAACAGCGAAATGAAATCAGCTGAGGTATTCATCAAGAAGTGAATGGACCATGAAAATGTGCTACATGTGCACAATGGAAGCCAATTCTCTGTAAAGAAAAATGAAATTTGCAGGAAAATGGATGAATCTCAAATTATCTTATTTAATAACACAAAACAGATTCAGACAAATAAAACATATTCTCTCCATGTACAGATCCTAGCTTTTAAAATGTGTGTGTGTGTGTGTGTGTGTGTGTGTGTTAGTGTTATAGGTAATAGTATATATGTATGATCATAGATCATAAAACTAGAAAGGGGACAAGATGGGAAGAAGAGGTTTTTGTGATGGGCCCTTAATCCTAACACTCAGGAGTCAGAGGCAGATAGATCTCTGAGTTCAAGGCCAACCTGGTCTTCAGAGTGAGTTCCAGGACAGCCAGGAATATACAGAGAAACCTTGTCTTGAAAAACCCAAAAGAAGAAGAGGAGGAGGAGAGAGAGAAGGAGGAGGGAGGGACCTACTAAAGTTGAAAGGGTTGGGAATCAGCAGATAGAGAAGACAAGTCAAAGAGGATGGTCTACAAAAGCTAACTATGAAAACACCATAATTAAATCTATTATTTTGTGTGGTATTTGTAGGCAGAGGTGGGGCACCCCTTTAATCCCAGCGCTTGGGAGGCAGAGGCAGGTGGATCTCTGAGTTCTAGGCCAGCCTGGGCTACAGAGCGAGTTCTAGCATAGCCAGAGCTTCACAGAGAAACCTTGTCTCAAAAAAAAAAAAAAAAAATTAAACAAATTGATAGGTCTTTTAACCTAGCAATCCATGTAGGAAATTTATCCTGACTCTTGGTTGTACAGATGAAAAGTGGTTACATGTGCAATAGACCAGAAGGCTCCATGATCTGCTGAGATGGGATAAATTATGTCATATAATGCTTTATACTTATAGAAAAATCACCTCCCTATAGAGGGCTGTGGACAGATCTCTCAGATTATGAAGTGATATGGAGCTGAGTAGTATGTCTGGTGAAATAACTGCCTGTTATATTATTATTCAGAGGGATTGATCAACTGCCTTTATTTCTCTTTGCTATGTGAGGACACCTGCCTGAAGCCCAGCACTTGGGAAGTAAAGGCACTAAGTTTGAGGCCGGCCAGGACTACCCAACACGACCTGGTCTAGAATGAATGAATGATGAGGCCGGCCAGGACTACCCAACACGACCTGGTCTAGAATGAATGAATGAATGCATTTGTAAGATTGCCAATGATGCCAATGTGTTCAGGCCTCACGTGCCTTCTGCTTCCTTTCCTCCAGGTTGGCAGCCCTTCTTGCCCAGGAAGGTCTCAGCCTAAGTGTGCCCCAGGTCATTGTCAGCTGCTGCTGTGAGCCCCTTACTCTTTGCCCTTCTCGGCAAAGCCAGCAGGCCTCATCCCTTCTGACCCAGCTGGGCATGCTGGCTCAGGAGCACGCCTCTCACCTTCTGGACGGCCTGCCCGTCTCTGTGCTGGACTCCCCTGGACCAAGCAAGAATCCCTCGTCAGAGAGAAAGTCTTGTTCCTCCCCCAAGGACTCATCACTCCCAGCCTTCACCTCCTCTGCCTTGGCCTTCCTTAAGTCTCGCTCAAAGATTCTGGCCACAGTGGCCTGCCTGCGGGCCTCCCGAGGGACAAAGGTCAGCAAGCCTAGCCTGTCTTGGAAGGAATTGCGTGGTCGCAGGGAGGCACCTCTGACTGCAGAGAAGGTAGTCCAGGAGTGTGAGCACCTTCTGGAACAGTTTCCTGTGTTTGAGGCTGCCCTCCTGGCTGCCTGGGAGCCTCTGCACCAAGCCTCCGAGCCGGGACAGAGTCTAGCAGCCAGTCTCTGTGGACAGGCCAGTCTCTCCACTGTACTTCTGGGCCTGCACTCTCCTGTGGCCCTGGATGTACTAACCGAGGCCTTTGAGGCAGCTTTGGTGGCCAGAGATTGGCCACGGGCCCTTCAGCTTATTGAAGTGTATGGGCGAGACCTGGACGACCTGAGCCGTGTGAGGGACGCGGTGCTGAGCTGTGCTACAGCATGTGGTAAGCAGGGCGCTCCGCCTCCCTCACTGTGTCAGGAGCACATTTAGTCTTCACAGGGGCTCTAGGGAGAGTGACTCTGTCACCATGATCTCTCTTTCCTGGGACTAGACTAAAGATTGGAGGGGTTAGAAAATTTACCCGGGATCGTGAATAGAGTGGAGTCGAGAACCCAAGCCTGTGTGACTTAGAATGGGTGTCTAGGACCAGTTTCAGCCTTTCCAATCCTGCGTATCAGAATGATTGTCAGATATATAAATGACAACCCACGTCCTGCCTTCAGAGGTCCAGGATGGAGTTCAATTAAGTGGTGACTGAAGAAGAGAAGTTAGCAGTCTTTTTCTGCAGAGTGCTTTATAGGTCACATGACCTTTGTTCCAGCTACGCCATGCTGCCAGGACAGCGTGAAGGACTGCAGCATCCACATGCTAATGAACCATGAGCTGGCCTGGTGGTCAGTGCTGATAGCCCAGCACTTGGGAAGCTGAGGCAGGAGGATAGGAAGTTGGAGGCCAGCCTGTCTCAAAACAAAAGGGGCTAGGGAGATGGCAGGGTGGGCAAAGTGCTTGCTGCTGGAGCACGAGGACCTGAGTTTGGATCCCCAGCACCCACGGAAGAGCCAGCTGTGGTCCAGCACACGTTTGTAACCCCAGTACTTACTTAGGAGACAGAGACAAGTAGATCCTGGGGACTAACTGGCCAGCTGCTAAAAGTGCTTGCCACACAAGCCTGGTGATCTCAGTTTGATCCCCAGAACCGACAGAAAAGTAGGAGAGAGCCAACTCCCAAGGCTGACCTCCACCATGGCGTGTGTGCACCTGTACTAACATGCACACATATCACACACACAATAATAAATGAGATTGTTTAAAAACTATGGCAGAGATCAGGGGTTGAGGATTTAGCTCAGTGGTAGAGCACTTGCCTAGCAAGCACAAGGCCCTGGGTTCAGGCCTCAGCTCTGAAAATAAAATAATAATAATAAAATAAAATAAATAAAAATAAAAACTATGGTGGAGACCAATAGAAGATACCCAACATCAACCTCTGACCTCCACATGTACACACACACACACACACACACACACACACACACACACACGCAAGATTTTCATGTATAATCAAAATAGAAAATCAATGAGCCATCTTCCTCCACTAGAGAGAGCAATAGACAGGTGTGTGTACAGGGTAGCTTTGTAGTAGAGGCAGAGACGCTCTTTGAAAGGAGAACGCCCCCCACGAAGGTTAAGAAATCCAGTAGAAGAGCTGTATGATATTAATTGCTTGGGCTCTATCTTTTTGTGTCTCCAAGATCAGATTTATGAATGAGTGTGGGAAAGAGAGAGAGAGCCACCTAGTGACAGGATATTTAGGGAATGAGGCTCATTTACTCCAGTAACTTTTATATAGGATGCAGAGTGGAAATTGCAGGGAACACTCACGCTTTACTGACAAGATGAATTTGCAAGGGTACCAATGCGCAGCAGGAAAAAAATGTGGGAAGCATCTCTCCTCTCTTCTCTTCCCCTCCCCTCCCCTCCCCCCCTTTCCTTTGTCCTTCCCTCCTTCTCTTCCTTCAGAAAGTACCGTGACTGTGATAGGTTTGCATAAAGAAGTACTAGGAGTAGAGGGTTTCTTCCTGTCATGTAATATTCCAGGTATAAGACCTAGTTATAGTCACAAGGATTGCCCCCCCCCCCCCCCCCCCCCCCCCCCCCCCGGCAAGCTCCTGGGTCATAAGATAGAACAAAGCCCTCTTAAGTAATTGGGGGTCTTTAAGCTCCTTCAGGGCGGGGTCGCTGAACATTGTTTTGTCTTACAGACAAGGAAGGTTGGCAATACCTGTTTCCTGTGAAGGATGCGTCTCTGAGAAGTCAGCTGGCCCTGCGGTTCGTGGACAGGTGGCCCCTGGAGTCATGCCTGGAGATCCTGGCCTACTGTGTTTCAGACATGGCTGTCCAAGGAGAACTGAAATCTGAGCTGCAGAGGAAGCTGGCGGAGCTGCGGGTCTATCAGAAGGTACAGGCTGTGGCGACAAGGGTAGAAGATGCGCCTCTTACCCGCCTTCCCCGCAGCCCATTCTCTTAGGATGGGGTATTGTAAGAAACAGGAAATGTAGGCTGGGCTTTTCCTCTGCATCAGGCTTCTGTCCTTAAATGAATGAAAGGAGACCTTTTATCTAGCTCTGCGTTATTACTCTTACTATTTTAAATACATTTGCATCGAGGAAGGATAGCAATAAAATGAACGTTGGGATGCTGCTGCACAGTTCACAAAGGTATTTTCCCATGCATGGGAGAGCTCTGTGTAAATCCTGCTTTCATCGTGTCTGTTCTTAGAGATTATCCTAAAGCTCAGCTAAATTTCTAGAGCCGTTTTGAGTCTTTCAACAGTGAAAGATTCTTGTGGGGTGTGTGCTGTGCAAGCTGATGAAGCTCAGGGAGAGAGACTTGGGAGGTCTGGCTGCCTAACCAGTGTACGACATATGCGAACCTTCCCCTGTGGCCTGGAACAGAGCCTGTGGCTCGCCAGGCAAGGTGAGCACAGTGAGGGGAAAGGTTTCCTTCCTGTGCCTCTTGAACAGTTTTCATACTAAGCTAAAATGCTGTGGGAAAGATGACTCACGGAACATTCAGGCTGGAAGAACTCCTTGGGTAGAGCGCTGAGGTGGAGAAACTTGGGACAGATGAGAGGGAACATAAGGAGGCTGGACAGGCTTTGAGCCTCAGAGAACTGTCCTCACCAGTGAGAACTTCTGTCCTAGCTGCCGGTCAGACTGTCCCCCATTTTTACTTCTGAAGAGGTTTATTGTCACCAAACAACCTTCCCCCTTCTGCTTTCTTCCCCCACTTTCCTGGAACGTTCAGACAGCTTGACTCTGGGACAGCTCGGGGGATGGCGCTTCCGTGGATGTGCGGATGACATGTTCACGGAGGCAGAAGTTGCCAGGTGGCTTATGGGTTTGCCTGTCTTTCCCTAGGTCTTAGGTTTGCAGGATCCCCCAGTGTGGTGTGACTGGCAGACCCTGAGGAGCTGCTGTACCGAAGACCCATTGTCTGTCATGAACATGATTCTGGAAGCACAGGTAACATTTTCCAGCATTGGTTTATCTTCCTTCCTGAACTGTATTAGCTCTTTAGCTGGTTGTGTGGATAGAGTCCTTTGCAGGTACCAATATCCACAGGTTTTTATAACTACAATATCATCTTTCCTTCTTTTAATTGTGAGATTTGCCAAAACACAGGAAGATAGGATAATGCCATCACCATGGCATTCTTGTGTGAGATTTTCTACACTGTGAGTGGAATGTTCCTACACATGGAATTGCTGTTCATCATGTGTTGCTGGAGGGCTTCTCTCCAGGTTCCCCAAGCCCCGCAGTCCCACAATCCACATATAAAATAATCACTCAGACGCTTATATCACTTATAAACTGTATGGCCGTGGCAGGCTTCTTGCTAACTGTTCTTTTATCTTAAAGTA